ACTCAAATATTCTCCTGTTTTGGCTCTGTTCCCTAGTTTAGCTGGTAGTTATAACTAGCCGGGGCTGTAATCATTAAAACCCCCACACCATTAATGTCTAACAAAGCAGCGAGAGTTTAAAAATGTAACTTTATTTGCAGCAGCATGTATATTAATCATTTGTCATGAGCCATTTTTACATCTTGTTCACGGGTGTTAAAAGACTCTTCATTCAAAACAAATCAAGGCAAAAATATAAATGATTTAAAAGATCGACCAAACGTGACAAAGTCCAACGTTCTTAGACATAAAGTGGCATTGCCATATCACGAGAAAAAAAAAGAGTACATTCCTGAGTATTGATAAAGCAGTGCTCTTCATTCTAGTCCAAACAAATCACGTCAGGATCTTTGTCGTTTTTGTCTCCAGTCTTGGCAGTTTGTGTTTGATCAGGTTCCACTTGTGGATCCTGATTCGTGGCTTGACTCTGTCCAGGCGAGGAAACGCGCGTGTCTGTTGAGGAAGGCGAGCTGGGATTGGAAGAGGCATCGGGCCTGATTAATCCCATAGCTGAGGCCTCTCTGCGTATAATAGAGGTGATCTGGTTTTCCACCAGAGTAGTTGCCTTCTTACTCAGCATCTTACCAATGCCACTCTGCATGGCAGAAGAGGGAGGAGTAGCGCTGCGCTGAGCCTCGGTACCAGTCTTGCCTGTGCTCAGGCTATAGACGCTGTTAATGACAGGAGTCAAGGGTGTGGAACTTACAGGTCCCGCCCCTGGGTGGGGCACTGAGGTCGTCACGGGGGTCATGACTGGTTTGGTAAGTAGTGTGGTGACGTACTGTGTTGGTGTAGGCGAATTCACCTGATGACTGATCAGCGGAGAGCTTGCTTTCGGCACAGACTGTACCAGCCCTGGCTTCACCAGACTGGGTGTTGCGGTAGACGCGGGAAGCAGCAGAGTAGTGGGAGGGGGAGGCCGAACTGTGATGGTCGCAGTACTGCTTGGCATGGGGGGTTGGTAGTATACTGGGGGTACATTGAAGCGGTAGGAAGGTCTTGGCTTGATGTTAGGAGCAGGTGGTAGGACGGTTCCTCCAGACAGCACCAGGGGTTGGACCTTTGGTTGGATAGGAACTGAACCCACCGCTGGGATGGGGGCAGGCTGGATTAAGTTTCCAGATATCGTAACGTTGGGTGGTGGACCTTCACGTTTGGTAAGACGACTCAGGATTCCCCTCTCGGACATGTTAAGCCGAGCTGTAACGGGCGGCATTCGGACAAGAGCCGAAGGGAGCCGATTGACGTCCGACTTCATGTCAGATAGGAGCTCCTCAAGCTGGTTAAGTACTGCAAAACAAACGAAACAACAGTTATTAAAAAAAACTCGGGTAACTTGTTAACTTAAACTTGCAGTCTTCATCAAGTTAAGATTCGTAAGTTTGGGCAAACTTGCTGACTGTAATAGGGACGGGATGGAAATGGTAAATTCTTCAATAGGGGGGGATCTCCATGTCGCTGTTTACATCTTTCGTCATTAGAAAATGACTTTTCATATTGAAGGCATCTTGCTATATACAAATTGACTCCAATTATTCGAGGACTTAGTAACAACCAGGCACGTGAGGGAGAAACTAAGGACGTCGATCATGAACTCATATCGCTACAATAAGGTATTCGTACCTATTGTCGGACACTTCAAACCATTGATCACCAGCTCACCAAAATAACCTCGATTGGCAGTATATTTCTTGTTCTGATTTTATTTTTGGGCTCTGTTAGGTCAGGTCGCGAAATGCGAAATGTGTCTAAATTTGCGCGTGCAACTGGCCCAGAACTCCACGCGCACCGCGTTCAAAACCAGAGGTACAACAGCATTTTTGTAATCATTGCGTGAAGTTTTTCTTTTGTGATCTGGCACATTTAGGGGTATAAAAGGGTTTGTCAGTAAGTAAATTATGCACGATAACGGCAGCAGAACGCAGAATTTACTTGCAATAATCAATTCTTGTGCAAAATATTTTCTCTATATATTCAATACTATACCCCGCGTTTTACTATAACTGATATACAGAAAGGACCTATTTTGACGTTTAACGTAAATTCTGTTACGGATAAACTAACAACTTTGTCTTCAGTGTTTGAACAACGACTACTGGAAGACCTTAAAATCCCATATGGCGGCTTTACGTAATCTTCCGAAATCAACTTCAGTCTAAATGTACAAACTGGCCTTCGACAAACGGTAAATGGTAAAAACAACCTGTAGATTGTGCGCACTACAAGCCCTATTTCTTCAACTCTATAGAAACTCAATGGGGGAGTGATTGTTTCTTTTTCTTCCGTCTTAAAATTGGTGACTAAAAAACGTGCAAGATAAAGTTTTCTGATAAACTTGTAAATTCTCACAACTGATTCAATCCTTCAAACGTACGAAACTCGATGCGTGTAGTTCTCTTGAATTCATCAACTTTTATTGTTGCTAGCAAAGAGATAAGCATTTCGTTGTCTTCTTAGAGAAAACGCGACAAAACTACGAATTTACGCTCTTACATTGGCAGTCAGTTCTTGGTCAGTTTCTCAGATACACTGGTAAATTTAAACAACTGTATTAAAGCCAATAAGCTGTTAAAAAAGAAAATCAGTCCTCGGAGATCTCATGAAAAAACAACAAAGTCAAACTGTCACTTAATGTTGATGAGAAAAAAAATGATCGACACGGTCGCCAAGGCCGTCTAGTACAAGCAGGTTCGTACACTTGAAGTAGTACCAGTCATCGCAATAACCATACTCCATTTATGAACTCCTGTCTGAATCCTACTGTCCACCGCACTTCGCACAGGAATATCCGGGCACCTCATCCAAGTAACACCCTCTCACTCTGGCTCTTGTTTGTCTACGCATTCGTTTATTTTTTTCTCCTTTCACAAGTCTTTTTTTTTTCCTTATTTCTTATTTTTCCTTCAAGTGTCCTTGCATTAGTTGCAGCATTATGTCGCAAAGGTGGACATCTCGGTTCCAGAGGGTGTAGAAATCACGTGCGGCTAGGGCCTGAGAATTCTGGGGAATCAGTTCCTGCTATTGACGGTTGGAAACTTTCCTTTGCACCCATTCCACGACCCAGACAGCTACAGTAACCTGAACCCTTACAGGAAGGAGCAAGACAAAGCTAGTTTACGAGGACACACGGCTTCTTGCCTGCCTGTCTGCGTCAACAACACCTTGAAATTATTGTAAACTTCGTCAGGTGTTTCATTTTCAAGCCCACGGCGAGACCTTTTCTTTTGCTCCCTCTCAATTCGCTCTTCGACAGACACCAAGGCATCAGTTATGTTGCTGAACGGGCAACTTCCCGGAAACTGAGAACAGTGACCCTGGATAAGTCCTGGTATGAGACGATGCGATGACAGGACTTGATGGAGCACTGACTGGTGACTGTAATTCAGGCTTGGACTCTTGCAGTGTCCACCGTTTCGTTCTGGGAAGCACGCTTCGAAACTTCTGGATGGCGTTTCAGGAAATTTTGCCACCACTTCTCCGACACACATCCCTTTTTCACCTCTTTTCCTCGTTTTTCCGCCATATGGGTGGCCAGGCGCATTACAATGTCCTTTCTCTTTGCATATCCATGTTTACTGACAAGCGTAAGATAAAAGGCTGCTAGCTCGGCCTCCTCAGCAGGGTCGAGAAGTGTTTCAGGGCCATTCTTTTTTCCATGTTCTACCCTCCCATTAACACGATTGCCAAGGCTAGATTTTGGGACATTATATTCGGCCGCTGCTTTACGAATTGAAAGTTTCCCACTTCTAACACTTTGAACTGCAGCAACCATGTCCTGTTCTCTCCATAACAAGTTTTTGGAACGAGGCATTGTGTCTGAGGATTAAAATTAGAACCCTTTTGTCAGCCTCCCGGGTTGTGTCGATGTATATCAAGTTTATATTATTTTCTGTATGTTTTGTTTCCACAGATGCGTTCTCAAACAGCCCATATCTCTCCTACGCGGACGGTGCCCCTTAATACCTATTATAGGCTATTATAGTTATTTTTAGACCGTTCCCACCCTCAAAGAAAACATCTCCGTAACGGGCGTGGTACCATTATCCGCGGGAGGACTGGGTACCTTGTCTAAAAATAACTTGCGAGGGATTACATTAAGATTAAAGGCTATTCCTTTCATCTTCTTTTGAGATTGACAGTTCATACTGATCTCCATAAAGGTCAAGGCGAACATTGAGCTGTCCGACAGTAGGTTGTGCGGACCTAAACGAGAGCTAGAGCCCAGATCAGCCGCACGGGACACAAAAACGATATGATGAAGGCTACGCAGGCGATCTTTAGTTTTTTCGCTCATTGCATAGGATTGTTACCCCTCGCGTAAGAGAAATTTGAACGGAAAGAAAACAAGCGCCACTTTGCCGCAAGTAAGAAAATTGTTGTAGTTTTATAAAACGGAGAGAAACGAGACAAGACTCGGTAGGTGCAATGACATTTATTTGCTTTAACCTGCAAGCGGTCTTTTTTTTTAAGGCTGCTTTTTTTTGTTTTTACATGCTGGTAATCATTTTCTCATTTGTCTGACATTGGGCAGTATCTGAAATTAGGGCGAATACCTTATTTATCAACAGTTCCTACTCATCGCGAAGATTTTTGCATGGGTTAATTTGCCTGAGGAAACAGGGGAGGGGGCACTAAAACGCAATGGCGCGTGACAACACTTAGTGAAATCCCTCAATCTACAATGAATGAAACTGTACCTACAAATAACCACATGGGATCAGAAATGCCCCCTAAATGCCCCCCATCCCCCACCACTAATAATGACGTGGAGAAATAAGTGTATCCAGCACTAACCTTTGTGAAGCACAGCATTGGCCGGCTTGTTCCCTGCTAGGGACTCCTTGGACAAATGTTGATGACTTTCCGCCAAACACTCCAGCTCTGCAAACCTGTAAGAGAAATCCCAACAGTGATCTCCTTAGACCTTCAGTACAATGGAAAACAAGCAAGCAAGTAAGCAAGAAAGCAGGTGACGAGAATAAAGAAATTCACCAAGAAGGGATCAAGACTTGAGGAAAAAACACCCAAGTCTCTGAGCTAACACTAAAGGGTATTTATGATAGTTCGAGAGTTAAGGTGACTGTTCAAGGTTTGGAAAGTAAAGATGATCTCCCCAGATTTTGGTTTAGTTGACATCCGAAGTGTTTTTTTTTCGCCTCCTACGTAGAAGTAAGCCACGTCACCGACAATGCTATTTTTTGTGAAGTTTCACGTTCGTCATGCCTCTTAATCTTCTTCAGCCGTAGCCACCCGTGTTAATCTTCCGTTTATTTTTACTTTTTTGGTTCTTTTGTACCTTAGAAAACCATTATTTTCCCTTCACTTTCAAAGTAAGTTTGCACACCACAAAAAATGGCTTAAGTTTTCGTGACATAGTTCATTCAGTTGGAAGTTCTTTGCACTGTTTAACTCGCATACGCAGAGCAAGACAAAAGCAGATGAGTTTACCTTGCATTAAGAGCCATGGCTGGGTGGTTAGCATCTTGCCTGAGCTTCATGGAGTCAGCTCTTCTCAGTTGTTCCTCTATCACTAGCGCCTGTTCTAACAACTGAAAACACACCAGCGGTTACTCGCACAATGGCATGCGAAAAGAACTACATAAGAGAACTCGGGCTGATAAACCAGAAAAAAACCGCGCGAAAAAAAAAACAAGGACTTTGGTCAGACAAATAACAGCACAAACTTATATTTTATCTGACCCTTGCTGCTTCAGAATCGTGCATCATGCAGAACTACAAGTCATATGGGATAATTTTTTGGGGTTCTCGCACTGGAACCGATAGCCATCTTATCCCTTAATGAAAAACTCTATTACAGATAAACAGCAATTATAGAACTACAAATTGTTATTTAGGATAACTATGAAATTATCTAATAATATCATTCAAGACATTAGGACTATGTTGGCCACAAACCTTAAAACGTCGTGCGATGAACCGGTTCTTGTATTCCAGAGTAACTACAACAAAAACAAGTTCAGTGAATAACTGGTCATTATAACAAGACTGAAATAGCCGACAGAGCAATTGACTCAAATCAGTCAATCAAAATACTTTATTTAGAATTACACCGCGCAACTGCTAGTCCTAAACAGTTCTTTTTTGATCATAAAATCGTGTGTAATACTTCTCTTACTGACCAAGCTTACTAGTGGCCGTGGAGGCAGGATATTGGCCCTCGGTCGTTCCTGCACTGACCTCACTGCACTCCTTCCATACTATCACGACTTAGGACCCGTATTCTCCCACATGATACTCGCACTTGGTCAATATTAAAAAGGTATATTCATTCATAAGTGTAAAACACTGAGGACTGAGTTTGCTCATAGTTCAGAGGACGTCGTGGTTAATGGTGAGGAAGTAGAAGACGTTGAGGAATTTGTATACCTAGGTGCTACAGTAAACAAAGAAGGAGGAGGCAGTAGAGA